CCAAGTGCAAGGTCCTACATCTGGGTCGGGGCAATCCCAAGCACAAATACAGGCTTGATGGGGTATGGCTGGAGAGCAGCCCTGAGGAGAAGTACCTGGGCATGCTGATTGACCAGAAGCTCAACATGAGTCAGCAATATGCAATTGCAGCCCAGAAGGCCAACCGTATCCTGGGCTGCATCAAAAGAACTGTGGCCAGCAAGTCAAGGGAGGAGATTCTGCCCCTCAACTCCACTCTCATGAGACTCCACCTGGAGTACTGCGTCCAGCTCTGGAGTCCTCAACATAAGAAAGACATGGACCTGCTGGAGCGTGTCCAGAGGAGAGCCACGAGGATGATCCAAGGGCTGGAGCACCTCTCCTATGAGGAGAGGCTGAGAGAGCTGGGGCTGTTCAGCCTGGAGAAGAGGAGGCTCCAAGGTGATCTTATTGCAGCCTTCCAGTACCTAAAGGGGCTACAGGAGAGCTGGGGAAGGACTTTTTACTAGGGCATGTAGTGACAGGACAAGGGGGAATGGCTATAAACTGGAAGAGGGCAGGTTTAGATTAAACATTAGGAAGAAGTTTTTCACTTTAAGGGTGGTAAGGCACTAGAACAGGTTGTCCAGAGAGGTTGTTGAGGCCCCATCCCTGGAGGAGTTCAAGGCCAGGCTGGACGTGGCCTTGGGCAACCTGGTCTAGTCAGAGGTGTTGGAACTCGATGATCTTTAAGGTCCTTTCCAACCTAAACCATTCTATGATTCTATGATGCTGTGGGATTTTGTCTGATCTACAGCAAAGGTGTCCAAGGCTGAGTTTTGGAGCAACGTGAATCTGGAACTGATCATTAGTGGAGGCTGTAGTTTCGGGAGTTGGGAGGGGCCAGGCCTCTTATTCTAGCTCTCTTATCTGTTCTGGAGTAGTCCAGCTTCTTTCTATTGCTGTGGTTACATACATATGTACACCATTCTACCTGTGGTTTTGGGGGTTGGTTGGTTGGTGGGGTTTTGTTTCATTTTTTTGTTTGTTTGGGTTTTTGTTGTGTTTTTTACTAAAAAAAAAAAAAAACCACCACACACACATCCAGTAACATTCAGTGAGGTTTTGATTGATTCTTTGACCAATTGCTGTGTAGGAGGAAATCTACCTGATGTATCTGAAGTCTTTGTTTGAAGTGCGATTGAAATAATAAATTCCACTGTACTCCCTGCACAGATACTGAAACTTTGTAGAATCTTTTGGTTTTTTTGACAATACAAAGGAGGCTAGTCAACAGCAAATTACACCCATCACTTCTTGTATCTTACGTGACCTAAAATTCTTGTAGTGAAATTTTTGTTACATTTCCAGGTGTACTGTGAATATGGGATGGTACATGTCCTTTCAGAGAAGGGGAGCAGCAAAGGAAAAGACTACTGTATCCTCTTCAACTCTCAGTGGGCCCATTTGCCACATGATCTGGGTAAAGCTGTAAGTACCTAGTCAAGCAATGACAGAACAATGTATTAAAAAATGCCTTTGTTACAGGGAAACTTCTAGTTTCTAACCTGGATTAGCAGAATTTGGAGCAACTACTCCACTTAGAAAATATTTTTATCTGTTAAGACCACCCTAGGTAGTGATAGGCAATGATGGCAATATTCTTTTTCAAGCAGCATGCAGAGATAATGACTATTTGTGGTTCAAAACAAAAAATCTTCCTTTTGCATAACATGATCAATTAAATGAGAATGGCACTTACCTGTGGCTGGCAGGGAGTTGTTGTATGGCAGTATGATGCAACAAGATACCACATGGCCTTGAACTGTGAACTGTAGTGCTTTCTCAGTGGTTCGTGGTTCTGTCAAGTGTAAGAATGAAGTAGTCAGTGTTGAGCTGTCCTGGTTTGACACGAGCTTTTGCTGCATTATCCAAAGCCATATGAGGTGACAATTAAGTCAATTCTTCACTCTATTCCAGGAGAAAAGGTTACTGTCACTGAATGATGAAATCAGCAAATATACTTTGAATGAGCTACTAATTGGGGAAGATGTGTAGTAGTTGTTCATGTTATTCATTGTATTCTTTAATCTACCGGTTGAGTGCTACACAGAATTATTAATGTTCCTTATCAATATATAATCAAGTCTTAATTACCTGTGGTGGGTTTCTTGCAAAGACAGATTATTCCCTAGATATGTAGATAGCTCAGATGCTGCAGCTGCCTTTGCTTTGTATAGACCCAGCTAATAAACTCTTGCACTTGACCTGACTCTGTAACATGAAGTCAGTGTGTTTGCGCGCTGTATCTCTTTGCTTCAACAGCAGAAGTGGGAATGCAGAAGTGCATGAAGCTGGTTTGAGAGTGTAAATACCTTGTTTCAGTCACCCTCATAAAAGTTCACTGGAGACATTTCAGTAGCTCTGCATGAGCTAATACAGTCCAGAATAGGTTGCACTGAACTGAAACTGCAGCACTCAACAGGTTCTGGTCTGCCTTGCACAGAGCACTAGGGTTGCCTATGCTATATCCTTTGCCTATCCCTGTTTCCTTCTTCAGCACTCCCTCTGCCTTTCCCTTCTTTCATATTAGCTGTCCTTCTCCCTCCCTCCAATACTGCAGCAGTACCACTTTATTAACCGAGGTGATGCAGTGCACCAGCCTGAGCTCATTCTGCGTTTATGTCGTTCTCTGATAGAGCTGATAAGCTTTCCTGAAACCTGGACAACCAGGAAGTGCATGTAGAGACATTTTATTGTCCCTAAAGGAGGAGCCAGGTTGGAGACAGCAGTTTTCTGAATAAGCTTGGAGCTACTAACAGCTTGACCCTTACCTTTCGCTCCTAAAACAGTAGTCAGTTACACAAATATTTGGTATTGTATCACATAGCTGTGGATTTCTAACACGAAGTGTTATATGTGTCAGCTTTTCAGGTTAAAACTGACACTTCTCAAACCTAAGACTGGAGCTGTGAATTGCTTCTGTTAGCATAGCTCACAACAAGAATCAGTCATTTGGCAGTTGATTGCAATTTTCAGGTGACTTGCAAATAGAACTGGGCAAAGATGCTCGTTGTTATGTAGGTTTTGCAAGTAACAATTTGTGCCAGTGTTATTTCTAAAACCTTGAAGTGTCTTTGGGTTGTTCCTGTGTAAACATACCAGAGTAGATGTCTTCGGGTCTGAGGAGGGCCAAAACTAAGGAATTGGGGCCGACCTGTAACATCTCTGAATTGCAAGCAGTGGGAGAAGCAGCTTAGAATCCAGTATCCAGGTGCTTTGGATGCAAAATCTCAGCTAACTGGATACAGTCGGTTTCAAAATGGAAGTTTATTTTTGTTGCATATGCTTTTGTACTTTATCCCTGCCTGTGTTTGTTTTTTTAGCTGTTCATATCCTACATCATCTCAGCCACCCTAGCAATTCTAACACTTTGCTCTACTCCGACATGCATGCGCGTACCAGAACAGCAGCAGTGGTGAAGAAAACAAATGCAAGTGCAGATCATAACCCAAATTTTATTACCAGTAAAATTCTGTACAATAAGTTGAAGCAAGGCAGCACCGTACGTAATAGAGAGGGCAGCACTGTTTCAGCTTTCAAGTTTCTCTGAGAATACTCTATCACTCCATTACTTGAAAGTTCTAAATTACCCTTTAGAAACACTGTGGTTTCTGCTCTTGAGTTTTTATAATTTTATTTTTTATATATATATATGTATTTAACAAGTTTCTTTCTTTTCAGTCACTCTTGCAACTGCAGGATCAGACAGCATCTGTTTTGTGTTCTCCTTCGGATGTACCTGATGGGGGATTTAATAATCAAATCCCCATGGTGATGCGTGGGAATTGCACCTTCTACGAGAAAGTGAGGCTTGCTCAGATAAATGGAGCTCGAGGGCTGCTGATTGTTAGTAGAGAGAGACTGGTAAGTCTCCTCCTGTCTTCCTGTCTCTATATTGCTGATACTCCGCTGATGTTAGATATCGTCTTGTCTTCGGTGCTCGTTGCTGGTATTTGATGCTCCTCTTTAAAATAAATAGTATATATGTGTGTGTGTTAATGTGTGTGCATGCATTGCGTAGCTATGTGTGGAAATAATGCATCTGAAGGAAGGATTAATGAAACTAGAGGGGTTACTCATTGAAGTAGGAAGAGTGCTGCATAGAGCCCATGTAACATTCTAGTTAAGGACTCGGAATTATCCTTATGTCATATGAAACACTGGAATCAAAGAAGGAGGTTGTTTTCTTGACTCATACTACTACCTTCAATGACATGTAGAGCACAGTGAATCTAGTGCTTTAGATTCAGCTGTAGCATCACCAGTGTATGTTATGTAAAACCCGTAGTTTTGAATACTGTAGTCAATCCTAGAGGTGCACGTCAGTCATAAAACCACAACCCTGATGTGTAAAAGATACTGCTTGAAGTTTGGTTGCTGCATTTTGCTGTTACAGTCTTTAACGACTTGCATTTTATTGGAATCATGCATACATTTTGACTTGGAGATTTTGCTGTCATTATGTTCCTTTCTAGAATATTTTCCAAAATACTACTTCAAGTAGTATTGAAATTGCAGAAATTAATATATTCTTACCTGGTGTTAATTGTCTTTCAGGTTCCTCCTGGGGGTAACCGGAGTCAATATGAAGAGATTGATATTCCTGTGGCTCTGCTCAGCTATACTGATATGTTAGATATTGGCAAGGTAAACTTGATACTAAATGCTCTGATTTATATTATCACATTCAAATGAGTCACCGGGCAACACTATTTGAAGTCCATCTTAAGAGCTTTGAATCTGTAGAGAGTTGTACTCATGAAGATTGCATTATTACGTTTTTGAAAAAAAAAAAAAAAAAAAAAAGCAAATATCTTTGGAGGTTATTTCTGGGCTTCAGAATGAAATGGAGTCTGGTGCTATAATAAATATCAGTAATAGTAGAGCCAATAGATTGCTCTTAAGTATTTATAATAAAACTTGATTCTGAGGTTGCTTAGTGAAAACTAAATAACTGAACCTTTGCTAAGGTAGCTTTTTGGAAGTTCTTCATAACTTGTACTTACCTCCACAGAGTTTCGGCAGCTCAGTGAAAGGGGCGATGTATGCACCAAATGAGCCTGTGCTAGACTATAACATGGTGATTATATTTGTCATGGCTGTGGGGACTGTTGCAATTGGAGGCTACTGGGCAGGAAGCAGAGATGTGAAAAAGTGAGTAAGTGGAATCTAGTATGTCAGTTTGCTTGTACTTTTCACAGGAAAAAAAAATACCTGGTGTTACCTAAAGGTCACCTGGAAGCTCTGCTAATGGGGTTTGGAGACTGTCTATATAACCACAATGGGAAAATGTTGATGTAACATTTGAAAGGCCCTGAGCCTTGTATTGGCTTTGTCACTGTCTGAAACTATTAGAGTATAACTTGCCTGTAGAGTGTTTTATTATTTTGCCTTGTCAAGAAGCCAAACATTTGAAAAGCTCAGAAGGAAAGCTGGATAGTAATAGGCTTCCTATTCAGGCTTTTGCGAAAATTTGCCATTAAAAATCTTTTGTGTAAAGAAAAAAAAAAATTGTTTTACTAGTGCAAAACAAACTGACTAGATGGCTAACATATACGATGTTTATTATGAATCTTTTATTGACATTTTATGGTTACTTGTGCCAGTAAGTAGAGTTGAGGGGAGGAGGTCATCTGTGCCACACCTATTTCTAACATTTACTTTATATACACAGCCTGACTGTAGGATTTCTTCTGAAGTCAGCAAATCATTCTGCAGTAATTTTCAGGATTCTGAGTTCTTGGTGAATGAAAAATAGTACTTTTGATAAACTAATGCAGTGATTACTGTTTTATGCATTGTGTTATATCTAATGTTCATATATCCATGTAAAATTGTGGAGTTCCACTGACTTTAGTGGAAATCGATGCAGGCATTGATGTCGTGTCATGTTTTCCAACCCCACATAGTTCTTGCTGAAGATTCAGTGCCCTTTCATATTTTGGTGCAGAAGGAATGGACTAAGTATAGCCATGTTACTCTTTCAGGCGGTACATGAAGCACAAACGTGATGATGGGGCAGAGAAACATGATGATGAAACGGTTGATGTGACTCCAGTAATGATCTGTGTATTTGTAGTGATGTGCTGCTCGATGCTGGTCCTCCTTTATTTCTTCTATGACCACTTAGGTACTCTTAAAGTCGTATTTGTATTGATACATTTTCAATATCACAAGGCTGCCATCACTTGAACATTTTTACTGTGAAAATAATTATGTCTTCTACCATGCTTCTTAATCCCAATATGATTTAAAAACCTGTAAGAAAACCCACTGAGTAGATTTCTATACCCACTTTCAGTGAGGTTGGACTAGGCAATCATAGAGCTTCTTTCAAACGTTAAAGCCTCTTAAGTAAATACAGACTTAATGTTTCACGCTTTTTATTTTTGTTGAAGTTGTTCTCAAATCTATACTTGTCTTTCTATTATTGCTCAATTTGAAGTTAAGTTATGGGATCCAGGATCATTTTTTTCATCTTGATAAAGATAAGTTTCTACCAATCACTTACTAAATTGATTGACAAAAGAAAGAGAGCCCAATGCATGGGAACTTCTGAAGAATTTATGAAAGATGCATCCCATCTATATTAATTCATTTTGCTACTAAGTGATTTTAAGGGTTGCTTTAAATGCTCACCTATACTCACAATGAGAAGATAAACAGTTCACCATAAGTTGCCTTTTAGGCTTATGATTTAATGACTTAACTTTAAGAACATTAGCACAGAGATTTGATTTGTTGTGTAAAGTACACCTGAGTAAAATGAGCTGGAATTAGATACTTAAAGAGCGTAAATGTAATCAACAGTCATTTGAAGGCTCTGAATTTAACTTTCACTGGTGAAATGTAAGCCTTATTTCTCATTCAGGCTTTTTGACTGCTTGGACTTACTGCTTTTTCTTTCTCAGTTTATGTTATCATAGGAATATTCTGCCTGGCTGCCTCAATTGGTCTTTATAGTTGTCTGTCTCCCTTTGTAAGAAGATTCCCCTTGGGAAAGTGTAGGTATGTGGCAACTTACACATTTTTAATAGGCAAAATTAATTTTTTATAATGTTGGGTAGGTGTGGGATTTACAAGATGGTTTCGTACTTCAAAATATTTATAAAAGAGCAGGGTAACTACACAGATAACAGCTTTGGTGTGTTGCCTTTTCAGAATCCCAGACAACAACTTGCCTTATTTTCACAAGCGTCCACAGGTCCGGATGTTGCTATTGGCAATTTTTTGTATCTCTGTCAGCGTAGTCTGGGGAATCTTCAGAAACGAAGATCAGTAAGTGCTTATTTTAGTTTCTGTGCTAGAAACTGTAATATGCTTTATAGTACAAGTAACTGACATCTGTAGAAGCCTAAACTTATCCAGAATTTAGGAGTGACAGGAAAGAAACTGGAGACATGAGCAGAAATTCGTAGTTGTTTCTTATGTGCTTCATCTTTGTCTTGTTGGTTTAAGTTACAGAAAACTTATCTTTTGTTAAGCTCAAATTTCTCTGAGTCCCAGTATGTATTCTGATCTCTTAAGCTAAAGACAGCTTTTCAGAAGTGGTATGGAAAGTTGGACACACGTTGTCTAACTTATTTCTTCAGGTGATGGTCTGCATGCACATTTTCTCCAAGAGAATGAGAGCTGTGAATATTGTAAGATCTTCACTTTCTCTCAATTGTCTGAGTAGATAATTCTTTATGTCCAGTATTGCTGCAGTATCTAATTCTAGCATGTTCTTACTACTTCTGTTAGTTTTTTGTTCATGTTTTTGGGGGTGTTTTTTGTTTGGTTTTGTTTGGGTTTTTTTTTCTTACTCCTTAGCTCACTCCCAGATGCTCCAGTTTCCCCATATATACATGATGTGTTCATCTTCTTCATCCCTCTGTCAGGGATTCTGTGTTGGAACTGAAATGCTGGCTTGTGCTTCTGCTGATGGTACCAAAGATGTCTTGTTTGTGCCTTGAATCCCTGTTGCTGCCTTTGTGGGGTCCATCTTCTGTGTTAAGGCTGTGGATCATTCACTGACAGAACTCATAAAGCCAGGAAGCATCAACTCTGAAATAGCTTTTAGAGAAATAAGTGTCAGACTGAGGAGTACAGAACTACTATACAGCTATTCCAACCTGGGATATTTAGGACTAGGGAGGGGACCCGAGTGTCTCCTGCACAATGCTCCATCAGCAAGTGCTCAGCTATTGATCACAACAGCATAATCTCTCATCTGTATCTAGACCTTAGCAATTTTAGGGAAACCTTAGTGTTTCATACCTCAAATCCTACTCCTCTATGATCCTTGCAATTGAGAGTAAAGCCAAAAAGCTTTGGTACTTCTATACCTAACTTGCAAAAAAACCAATTAAGAAACAGCCCCCACTGTACGCTTCCCTCAGCATGTGAGGATGTACACATATACACAGGCCAAAGGACCCCGGTGCTCAGCCAGTTTTCAATCCACCACACTGTCTGCTCATCCAGCATATATGTACTTTACCAGTTTCTCTATGAGGGTCTTTGGGGAGATTCTCAGTGGAAAGCCTTACTGAAGTCTAGATAGACAATATCCCTGCTGCTCTTCCCTCAGCTACCAAACCACTCATTCCATTGTAGAAGGTTAGCAGGTTGATCAAGTACAACTTCCCATTTGTGAATCTGTGCTGACAACAATGTTGATTTCAAGCAAGTACTTTTAATAAAGTTTTTTTTGTCCTCAGGAGGTCCTTAGTGCAGACAAGGCTCTGTTTGGCTTTCCGACTGTTTCCTGCAAAAATGTAACTCTCCTCTTTCTTTAGGTGGGCCTGGGTTCTGCAAGATGCTTTAGGAATCGCTTTCTGTCTTTACATGTTGAAAACAATTCGCCTGCCTACATTTAAGGTATGAAAGTTAAACAGATGTAAAAAGAGGATGTTTGCCTGTATATAGTTGAACGTAGGAGCGACATGTAATGCGGTATACTCGCTTGGAAATGCATTTCCTTTCATGTGTAGCATGGAAGCATGTGATGTAATGAGTATAATGTAGACCAGTAAGTGGCATGTGATTAAGCATGGTGTTTGGTAATGTAAAGTTCTCTAGAGTGTTGACACTCTACAATGTGTGGAAATCACACACCACACTTACTTGTAGGGTTTTTTTGGTTGGTTTGACTTATGTTTTGTTTGGGTTTTTTGTTTTGTTTTGTTTTTTGGTGTGTTGTTTTTATTTCCAAATTTCACACACAATTGATGCATCATTCTGGTGTTTTTTCAACTCTTCCAGAACCTATTCAGTATTCTAAGATAAAAATCAGTATTAGTCACTTAGTTGCCCCCTAGGCAGCTCTTCAAATTCTATTTCAAGTTATCTTCACCTATAAATTTGTTTCCCTGTACAGATTGGCCAAAAAAATGTGGATGCTGTTTCAAGCTATGCCTAGCATCCTCTAGAGAAAATGCAGAACTTTTTAATATTTCCTAACAAATAGAAATGGCACCATTTCTGGATTTTATGTGATAAAGAATTTTAGGGACTAACATGCAATTTTGTGTCTTAAGGATTACTTTCTTTTATATGGTGTATATGACACACAATTCTTCCATCTGAAATATTTAGGAATTAAGAAAAGTACGTGAGTGACTTGTTTTAGCCATAGAATGGTTTAGGTTGGAAGGGACCTTTAAGATCATCAACCTTAAAGATCATCTAGTCCTTGTTAGCTTTTACCTTGAATAATCTTAAGTTGCTAATTATTAATTCTTTGCTGTTTACTAATGTGTACTTGTAAATACCAAGTATCTTGTCTCTTCCTTCAGGGTTGTACCTTGCTCCTCCTGGTTCTTTTTGTGTATGATGTATTCTTTGTATTTATCACACCTTTTCTAACAAAGGTGAGTACAGTACTTCTCCAGCAGCCTTCTGCTCACAGAACTAAGTGTAATGACCTGTTTCTCTGTGTGTTCCTAAATGATCCCAGACTTGCTGAGTGAAGTGCTGATTTACAATTTTCCCTTTTTTTCTTTAGACTGGGGAGAGTATAATGGTGGAGGTGGCTGCAGGCCCGTCTGATTCTGCCACTCATGAAAAGGTAGTGTATGTAGTCTGAAAATACGGTGCTGACTTCCAGCTATTACACTTTCAACTTCTCTAAAATTCAAAGCACAAAGCTGAAATGGATATACCAGTCTGAAAATAATTTATGTGGAAGTAAGTGTTCCTGAGCTCTCTGGAAATCTACACCAAACAGAGGGGGCAAAGCAGAGTTTTAGTGGCTCATCACAACAGCTTTGGTCTTCCTTTATCTTGCTTTAAAAGGGTTTCAGTATGAAGAAGCTGGTCAGCTCAGCTTCACAAAACCCACATTTGTAAATATAACTTTTTGCTAATGAAGCATATCCATTTTTACCTAAATAGATAAAACTTGTATGATCAGTCTGTCTCTTCCCCCTCCTCTCTGCTTTTGATAATTGCTTTATGAAAAGCTAGGGCTATAGCCAAAGGAGAGAGACATGAATTGGAGACAGAACGCAAGCAGAAGTCAATATTCGGTGGTTCTGTACCATTTGACAGCAGCCAGTACAACATGATATGGCTGACTCAGGGAGGAAAGTACATGAGATGTAGGAGATAGTGAGATACAGAGTGCAAAACAAATAAGAAATGAATCTGTAGGAAAACTGGTTTTGTTAATTAAAGGATTTTAATTATGCTGGGTCTCTCTACAGCAATTAATATAATACTGTCAGAGGGGCAAATAGTAAAGAAAATAGTTGTTTGCAGGATGAACTGAGTGGATTGAGCCATACTAATTTCTTTAACTTCTTATGTTCTTGTCTTTTGTACCCCTTTAGTTTCAGTTCTATGCACAGAATGAATGGTATAAAACAATGATAGTTTAAGTAGATAAAATTATTCTTACACTAACATAAGAAAAGGAAAAAAAGAAAATAATTTTTCTTTAATGTGCTATACTGAAGAGAATACATGTTTGCAATTAACCTTGCCATACTGTGTTTCCAACATTGCAAATTATGTAATAAATAGGAACACTTGGGGGGAAAACAAGTCTTTAAAGTGATTTGAAAAATCGCTTTTTAAAATTATTCAAGTCTTTACTCTTGAGACTTTTATCACAACCAGTAGAATGAAATATAAATGGTTATTTCTTATGCATGTGGCAGCGTATCTAAATTTCTTATGTTCCTGCAGTTAAAGCAGAGTTGATACCCTATTGCATGTGAGGACTTCAAAATTATTATAGTGTTTTGAGATGTCTGTCATGCAGCGTTGTATTGGCGGTTTGTTTTTAGAAAATATTTCATCACTCCTATCTTAAATACGTTTTGTTAGTTGTTAGTAATATTAATAAAAGATTTTAAACATATGGATCTATAATGTAAAAAAAAAAAACATTTGCTTTATTTGAAGTCTGCAGTTTCAGTACAACAGGAACAAATTCTGGTAGATGGTGTCTGTAGAAAAAACACCTTTTCATAGGGCATATGTGTCTCATTTCAAGCTCCCAATGGTTCTGAAGGTTCCACGACTGAACTCCTCACCGTTGGCTCTGTGTGACAGGCCTTTTTCTCTCCTAGGATTTGGGGACATTTTAGTTCCAGGTATTTCTTGTTTAGCATGTTAAGAATTTTACTTGTTGCACTGTCATATTAATTTATTCCTCTTGCACTTCTGTTTCAAGTGGGAAGTTTGATTTGACTTCTATAAAGCTGATAAATTTGTAAGGATATCTTTTATGTTATTTTTTTCTGCACTGTTTGCTTTTTCGATAAGAAATAACATGCACATGGTTCAGTTTCACATGCAGTGATGTCAAGAAATGTAGAGAAATCTCAAGAGTTGATTTAGCAACTAATTTTGTACTATAAAACATATTTAATAGTGTGGTGGTAATAGAAGAAATTATTTGTCCTTTGCACGTGATTTGAGTACACGCATACCTGACCACTCAAAACTTTATATTAGTCACACAACATCCAGTGTTTCTACCACACCTCAAATTTTATGTTAGATAATATGTGGCAGTATGCCTGGCACCACTGCAGGTGAAAACAAGTATGCATCTTCTGGCTTTCAGATTTCTTCTGAGATATTATTTGTTTATTTTCTTGTATTTTGGGAAATATGAACTGTGTCATCCTCCTCTGTGTCCCTTCCTCCCCCAGCCTCTAATAGGCATAGTCATTAACCATATATTTCTACTGTCTTTACTAGGAGCTGGAATGGATGAACTTAACTCTTATTCTTGTTGTGTACACTATATTTTTACAACTGTTTATTAGGGAAGGGATGATGTTTTGTATCTAGGATCTGTGTATTTGTAGACGTTAATTTTATTATTAGAGTGCTTCTGTTGTGCTGGGTTTGTGTTATCATATAACTGTCCTGTAAGCTCTGCAGCCTTCTGAGTGATGCTGTCATAGTACTTAGACAGCAGGATGCCCAAATAACTGTGTTGTTTTTTTTTAAAAAAAAAAAAAAGTCTTAAAAGTTCCTAAATCGTATGATGGTTTAGTGTATCTTAATGCGTGAATGGGTTGAAAGCATGTTGTAACTATTCTTTCCTTTTCTAGGCTTATTGGTAGCCTATTGCCATAGATTTGATATTCAGGTGCAGTCGTCCAGAGTCTATTTTGTAGCCTGCACAATAGGTACGTATAACAGTGACACCTGAATGCAATATCTACAGGAGTTATCCCTTTAAAAGCATACCACTGATCTCATATTGTCATAGAATGGTTTAGGTTGGAAGGGACCTTGAAGATCACATAGTTCTGACCCCCCTGCCATACGCAGGAACACCTCTCACTAGACCACACTGCTCAAAACCCCGTCCAACCTGGCCTTGAACACCTCCAGGGATGGAGCTTCCACAGCTTCTCTGGGCAACCTGTTCCAGTGCCTTACCACCCTCAAAGTGAAAAATTTCTTCCTAATATCTAATGTAAATCTACCCTCTTCCAGTTTTAAGGTATTCCCCCTCATCCTATCACTACATACCCTTGTAAAAAATACTTCTCCAGCTCTCCTATAGGCCCCCTTTAGGTACTGGAAGGCCACTATAAGGTCTCCCCAGAGACTTCTCTTCTCCAGGCTGAACACCCCCATCTCTCTCAGCCTGTCCTCACAGCAGAGGGGCTCCAGCCCTCCCAGCATCTTCGTGGCCCTCCTCTGGACCTGCTCCAACAGCTCCATGTCTTTCCTATGTTGGGGACTCCAGAGCTGGGTGCAGTCCTCCAGGTGGGGTCTCACCAAGGCAGAGTAGAGGGGAAGAATCCCTTCCCTTCCCCTGCTGGCCATACTTCTGATGCAGCCATAGTTTGTTTTTTTTATTCTTCTGCTGTCTTTATTATTAAATAGAAATATTTTAGCAAAGTGCTTTTGAGGCCAGACCTTCCATCACCAAGTTTTCTGATGTCATTTTCCTGAGTTGTTTTATCTGCCGTATATAAGGAGAGCTTCTTGTTACCATAGTTTGTCTCACTACTCACATCTACACTACCTACTCTCACATCTACACTATCTTTATGCATGCCTAGCTACTCATTCTGGTTTCTTGATTCATGAATCTTTGAGTTTATTGCATATGAGAATTCAGGTTTAGGGATATCCTCCTTTGACTTTGTTCTTAACTTTTTGTGTATTATAAAAATGTGTGACCTGTGACACAATGAATTGTATTTTGATGGTTGTAACAACTCTAAATTAATCTTCTTTAGTTGGTAGAATACAGAGTTACATGCTTACGGACTTAAAGACGACCGATGAACAGATCTTACAGATTTCTGCTGTCTTTGTTACAAAGTATGCTAGTGAAGACTTAAGATGCTTGCAGTTAATGTCATGAAAAATTTTCATGAAAAACTGCTTTAGAAATTCCTCTGAAAAAATAGCATGATTCATGGAGACTTACAGCAGGGTTAGAGAGATGCTTTTATTTCAGAGTACCACATATTAAATAATTTCCTCTCATATATACTTAAATGAAATTGCTGTCTTACCTGGTACTTTCAAAACACTTTTTACAGAAATTGATAGGAAAATGTATCGATAAAGAGCCAGCAGTGTACTACTGCAGCAACGAAAATAACCACATATAGGGCTGTGTTAGCAAGATTGAGTCAGCAGTATGAGAGAAGTGATTATTCCCTTCAATTTCGTAGTTAAGTCTGAGCCTTAATGAGGATCCATGGTGCAAGACAGACATGGAAATACTGGAGTAAATTCAGTGGAGGCCATCAAGATGGCTAAGGGCTGGAGCACATAATTTTAAAAGAAGAGAAGGCAAAGAGGAGATTTTGTTGCTGTCCTAATGTGAGGATGCAGAAAAGACAGACAGACTTTTCTTACAAGTGCACAGGGATAAAATCGGAGGCAATGGACTTGAATCACAAGAAGAAATATTTCAACGAGACATAAGGAACTCTTACTAATATGATAATGTGCCCTGGAAAAAAAACCAACACATTTTTTAAGAACTTTTTAAAGTTATACAGTGTTCTAACCATAGAATCATTTAGGTTGGAAAAGATCCATAAGGTCATAGAGTCCAACCGTAAACCCAGCACTGCCAAGTCCACCACTAACCCATGTCCCTCAGCACCATGTCTGCCTCTCTGTTAAATACCTCCAGGGATGGCGACTCCACCACTGCCCTGGGCAGCCTCTTCCAGTGCTTGACAACCCTTTCTGTGAAGGAATTTTCCCTGTTCTCCATCCTAAACTTCCCCTGGTGCAACCTGAGGCCATTTCCTCTTGTCCCATCGCCTGTTCCTTGGGAGAAGAGACCGACCCCCCCTCGCTACCTCCTCCTCTCAGGGAGCTGTAGAGAGCGAGAAGGTCTCCCCTCAGCCTCCTCTTCTCCAGGCTGAACACCCCCAGGGCCCTCAGCCACTCCGCACAGGACTTGTGCTCCAGACCCCTCACAGCTCCGTTGCCCTTCTCTGGACATGCTCCAGCACCTCAGTATCTTTCTTCATCAGGTTCCTGAGGAAAAATCAGTTGGATTTAGCTTCTTGTTCTGAAAATGTAATTGAAAATAGTTACAATATGAGATTCTAGCTGCTTCTGTTCTACTTAATAATTTTTTGCAGAATATATGCAGAAATTAAATAGAAAGTAATAACAAATAATAAAATACAGCTGGCTAGTTTGGGTATTTTAGTGGTGTTGCAGGATAGTAAGAAACAGCCAAAGCCGGGTCAAACAACAAGCACATGTTATAATGGTCAAAATAATTGTCTGTGTCTGACTTCATAAATACAATATGAGGCAAATTACTTCATTTGTTTATTTTACCTTTCTCAAATGATTTAATTGCACAGAATGGACTATCCTGATCATATTACTTTCACAACATGTTATTATCAATAGAAAAAACTGTAGTATCTCTAAGTAAAGTGCTATTCCAACTTTAGATTGTGTAATTAATGCTTGTGTCTTAAGAGGCCTGAAAAAATTCTGGAGATGTTGTTTTACATATTACTTGAAAAAAGTTTCTGTTAGTGTGGTCATTTAGCTAATTATTTAGTTGTTCTTGAACAGAGCAACATCTGAATAACCATTTTTGCTGGGTTTGTCTCCTTTCAGCATATGGCATAGGCCTTCTTGTGACCTTTGTTGCCTTGGCGTTGATGCAGATGGGCCAGCCCGCTCTCCTCTACTTGGTGCCCTGTACTCTGCTCACAAGCTTTGCTGTGGCTCTTTGGAGAAAGGAGCTTGCAATGTTCTGGACGGGCAGCGGCTTTGCGGTGAATACCAGTTTGATATGAGTGTCTTCAAGAAATACTAATATTATAAAAACCTTACTAGAATTAAAGTTGAGTAAAATGTTGCAGTATTATCAAACAAAACCAAAGATTTTTGTTTTGCTTGATTGTTTGCTTTCTTACATACTTTTTTGCCTCAGTAAGGTTTTCTTTTTTTTTTTTTTTTTTTTGTTTATGGCCACCTAAACTGGCTAGTGAAAAGTAAAGTAGACTTCGTCTATCCTTCTTGATTCTGCCATAATTTTACTGGCTTGATCTCTGTTGAAATTATTATTGTTGTTGTTATAAAACATAATCTTTTCTATAATATAGTAATATTATAGAAAATATGTCCTTAAAATACTTTTCTTCCTGTTTTTTCATAGCCTACGGCTTTGGAAGGTAGAAATCTATTTCAATATAGTAAATTATCACTTTGTTTCACTGTGGTACAAGTTAAATTAATTTGATTCCCAAAGGAATAATTTCATGTTGCATGATTATAGATTTTGAATAATTACTTGAAGAGCAAATCTATCAAACTGGAGGTTCCCTCCAACAAGTTTTATTTTGTTATTCAACTATTTGTGATAACCTTCACAACTTTCCTCTAGAGAATTGAATTTAATTGTTGGAAAAATACTTGAGATCATCTGAAATGTGATGGGAAAGTTGCCAGTTGTTGTACACTGATAGTAAAGGTGGGCAAAACCAGAGAATGAAGAAGTGCCAAAGTGCTGTTTGCCTGTTCCTGCGTAATTAGCAGAGCACATCCGAAAACAGCACAGAAGGATCAGGCAGAAAGCAGTTAAACACATTTCTGGAAGAAAAAAAAATCCCCTTGTGTACTATAAAACACAAAGACAGATAACTGTATGCATGTGTCCACTACTGGAGAATGGTAACAGAGATGATGGACCTTTATTTTCATCTTGTATGACCATCACTCCTGATAACTGGACACAGTAATTCTTGCTTTCCATCATTCTGACTGTGATCTTCCATTTACAGAAAGACCTACCTCAGCCTCCCCTGGTGATAGCTCCTGTCAGCTGCCCTGAGCTTCCCAAAGATAGCAATGTACCAGCCCCTCAACAAGACACAGAGCAAATGACCAATCCTACCCTCCATGTGAAGGATCTGCATGGCCCCACCTTGGCTGCAGAGGAGCTGGCTGATATTGCCACAAAGATGGACAAGTCTGAAATTTCTGTTGCACAGAGTGAGGAACCAGCTGGTCAGAACAAGGACGACCTTGAAAGCAAATGCCTAAATGCAGAGCAAAAACAGCTGGAATAAACAATGTGATAAGAACTCCTTATTTTCCCTCACAAACATATCCATATAAAACCAGTATGTATTTAGGACTGGTTTAGTAGTGTTTGCATTCATTGAGGAACCTCACTGGGAGTCTGATCATCAAATCCATCTACAAATGTTCTGCCTCCAGCTTTGGTACAGCTATACACTTCAAACATCTTTCTGAAATATGGTGCTCTACGAGGGTTCTGATGTATGGATTTCAATGATCATTTTATTAGTGAATGCCTTTTACCGTTCCATTTTCATTATACCGGGATAGTATTAAGAGTCTTTATTTACACAATACTCTGTGCTTGTGTGGCTATTTTGCTGCTTTAGCATAGTGTAGGTTAAGATGGAGTAAAAGCATTGAACAAGTCTGCTACAATGCTTATTTGAGAGAAACATGATACTCCTTTTAGCACTTTCCCTATTGTCACCTTCTACTTTACTTTTCCCTGCTTGTCAAAGCCATTGATACAAGGGAATGCTTTAGTATAAACTGACATTCAGGAAATGCAGAGAATGGTTAAATTACCAGCCTCTGAAAGGATTTATCCTACCGTGGTGCATTAAATGCATCTCTTAACTTTTTTGTCTTTGTTTTTACTTCCAGGTACCTGGGTTGGCTACTAGGCTAGTTTAAAAGGCAGGATGAATGGAGCTACAGGAAGCTTTCTAAGCACTCATATGAACTCTAGGGGCTGTCTTTGAAAATAAACAGCATTTGTCACAGAACACTGTCTGGAAGCAAAAGCGTATTAAGAATGTTTAATGTTTTAGAAATAAAATACAAGCCAAATAGGTAAGAAACTAGGTAGTAGCACTATACTAAGCTTAATAGGCAGTATTTTCATTGGGAAAATGTTAAAGCAAAGCAGTAAAAGTTCATATATTTGGGTTTCAAGCTTCTACTTGCTATTTGTTTAAGGAATATAATTGCAATTGCTAATTCTGAAGAAAATCTGGTGTTTTCATTCCCAAGGGAGCACATATGGTGCTATAGTCAGTTGTGATACTTGCTGCTCAGTAACTAATCAACTGCCTCAGCCATGTTTTGTCTTGGTCCCAAGAGGAGCCAAAGCATGGCCTGTCAGGTTCTGGAATGAGGCTGTGACCTGGCCTATTATTTTGCACCTCTTGATACATGTCATTGTAAAGGACTAAAATTGTGAATTCAAAACTCTTTGGGGTGCAGCTGGTCTTACTTTATATTCCTGAAATCGTGTGTTTCCTGTATAACATGATTGAGTCTTTTATGCATCAACACATAGAGGGATGATGTGGTTTGCATATTATTTATTCCATCTAAGAACATTGGGCTTTATCAAAGGTGTCTGTTCTGCACTTAAATTGCAATCCCAGAAAGCCTCAAACACTTCACATTGAAACTGAAATAGAAAATGGAATTACTCTAGGATCCTAGAATATGATTCCAAATTGAGTGGAAGAAATAGTCTTCAAAGTATTTGAGAGCCCAAAATGTCCTTTACAAAAGTATCATCACAGTGACATGATCAGAGGCAATGCTTTTAATTTAAGAGTCTCCAGTTGGCATGTTGAGTTGGATTCTGAAGGGCTCTCTTTTATTGTCTGTCTGTAAATTGCAGCCTTTGTCTTTTGGCTGGGTGTTTCAGAAGTTTGCCCTGTGCTTTTTGGGTGATAACTTCTGTTTTTATCTGTTTCATGCTGGGTGGATAGTATTCTTTCTCTAGAATGTGAAAGGCTTTCTATAAAACCACATTATGACTTCAGAGTTTTACCACCTTCTGCTAAAAGCCTCAAGCCCTGTCTGATAAGTTGATTTAATGGTGAGTTCCTTGAAAGGCTTCCTGAGTCCAAAGGCCTGCACTGCATTTAATTTACAAATCACCCTAATGGAATATAGTAGTACTAAAGACATCTGGTTTTCAATCTCCTCTTTAATGGACTGTTTTACTTTTGCCAGCAGTAATCTGAACCAATTATTCCTAATAAAAAGCAGCAGAGACATGTTACAGAAAACTTCAGCCAGCTGGATTATGCCTTAATCTAAGCCATTGTATAAGTATGTATATTAAATTAAGAAAAAAAAAAATCTTGTGTTTTAATAATGAACTTGACAAATAGCAAGAAAACAAGTTTGGAGACTAACTCGAATATCTATGGTTTTTTGCCTTGATTGTCTTTCAGTCATTATGTTATTTGGAATAGCTTTTTATATACTTAAAAGCCAGTAGCTTTCTGATGAAGCATTAAGTTTTATCATCTACTTGAAAGTGTATTTTAACATTTGTTCTCATATGTTGTGGGTTAGAAAACAGTTTATTTCTCAAATTGTTTATAACTTGATTAAAATGGAAGAATTCATAACACTTAACTTGTAGGCATTTAACAGTTGCTTTGTTCACATTACTTGCTAGATAGGTCTGCTTGGAGCGTGTGTTTCACCTTATGTTTCCAGGGGTTTTACATCTATTTTTAAAGTGTGACTTTTTTTTTTTTTTTTTTTTTTTTAACACTACAAAGGTCAATGCTGAAAAAAACTGATAGCTACTCGAGGCAATATCTCCAGTTAAAGTATGTAAACTGGCAATGAGTTACATACTTTGACTATTCCAGTACTGTACAAATCAGGTGACCCTGGTGCACCAGTTTGGCTGCGACTGTTCGACCGTGATCCTGGGCAGTTCAATCACTTCCATCAAAAAACAAGGCTGTGCTTTTATGGCTTTCAAAAACCTCCCTGACCAGCTTAATGTAAAACTTAATGTTGTATAGGAAAATGTGAAGATATGTTCAGTGTAGCTGACTAATTTTACTAGATTTTGCAGATATACATCCCACACCAAACTTAAGATGCTCAAAGTAACGAACGTAATGTTAGTGTTAAAAGTATTGTTGATGCACTTCTTGTTTACATCTTTCACATACTAAGCCTCTAGCTAACTATCTAAAAATTCAGTAATAAGGATTCTGTTTCTGAAAACTTGGGTGTGTTCAGGGGAAGCACTTGTTTTAGTCACCCCACCCAAAAAAAAAAAAAAACACCACAAAAAAACCTCAAACCAAAAAACCCACAATGACCAACTCCACTAAAAAACAACAACAAACCAACCCGCACTTCTTCGGATCATAGTAGTGACAATCAGATTCTTTCCTGGGTCTGAAATTACTCCGTAGCAGTGTATTAGTTCAAGTGTTTGTGTCTTCTTGAAGGGTTGTACAAATGAAGCTGAAGTTAGAATGCAACCTGGTAGACTTCACTAAGGGTGACAAGTAAGGGAGAAGTATCCTTAAACCCTCTTTTAATTTGGGGGATTTTTTTTCTTGTCATAAATGAAATGTATTAAAAAAAGAAACAGGAAAAAATATATTCTGTTTTTACCAGTGGCAGTAAAAAAGAGCACATCCACATATTATTATACTTGTGAAAATATTTAATGTTTTCTCCAAATTTGGACAAATGCTAGAAGACAGAAAATTAGCACAATGTGTTTTCCAGTAGGTTTATAAACATGTCTAATAGAAAGCTTCATTTAGAAAACTGTTGGTTTCATTTTTTCCTCCTTCTTCTATATTAACCATACCAAATTTCTTGAACTTTTTACATGATGTCTTGATCTCAGATAATCAGTCAAGCTTTTCCTTCAGAAGCTGCTCTTCTCTTGAGGTAGCTGTCAGTCTGTCTTTTGTTAAGAATGCCTTGCAAGTCCTGACGGCATTTTTCAGACACGCACGCTTCTGTGTTTCAGAGTTGTTTTTTTCATCCATGATGCATTGCTCAGGCTGCGCACAGATCATGACTATAAGGGTACTTCTGAGTATGCTGGCAAATAGCACTGACTGGAGCCAGAAAGAAACCAGCTAGTAAACAGTACTGAAATAATACGATTTTAAACTTTAAGTATGTGGCCGCATTCATTACTTAATAGGCTGTTTGGGAGATGCTGTGTGTTTACATGCAGTTCTTAATTTGTTCTCTAGTATCTGATGGGCTACAGAACACGTAGAATTTAAAGGTAGTTTTCTACTTAACCACAAACTGTGTTCTCCTATAGGTTCCTGCGTGGGAAGCACTTTCAAAACAAATACTTGAGTGCACATATACTCAATGTTTCCTGGATATCTCACTCTACAGTTTGTAGAACTTTTCCTGGCAAGACAATTTACCAAAAAAATAAAAGCCTATATTGGGTGTTTGGTAACAGTGTTGCCTTGAGGTAAATGCTGACACACAGCTTTTTCAGTGCAAGATACTGCAGTTTTGTTCTTGTCTTTCTTCTCTTTAGCCCCATCGTTGGGTAGTGCATATGTTTCTGGTTTCGTGCACTGTACTGGCTGTTTAGGATGTAAAGCCCTGTAATAGTTATTTTTAATAGCACTTTTGATTAGCAATTAACAAAACAGTATTTTGTATACGCTTTCATTGTTTGGCATGTTATTTGTAATACATTCATGGGTAAATAAGCTGGCTAAGCAGTAATGTGCAACTACTGCATATTGACACTTGACATACATCACATTGACACAAGTAAGTATTTGAAATATAGACATGCCAGCAGATCCAAATATTTGTCCAAAGCCTGCAGAGATGGTGCCTTTTTCCATGACAAATATAACCTCTGATGTTTTAAAATAAAATCTGTGTAAGGGCTGCATCTTCAGGAAAATTAGGACATTATTATTAGAGAGTCCAGAAGAGAAAGGGAACTATGATCAGAGGTCCAGGAAACATCAGCAACAAAGAAAGATTGATCTTTAGGTATTTTATCTAGAGTGTGGTTTCCCAGCTGGCCATCAGGACGTGAAGCACAGAGTTGCGCTGACACGCTCTTTGGCTTTTTAGTTTAGGCTCTATGCCAACAGTGCTAGGTAGATTGGAGATGAAAAAGATAAGAAAAAAGTGAGGGTGATTCAGAAAGCATGAGGAGATACTGAAAAAGAATGGCAGTGAAAGAGTTTACTCCAGAGATGTCCAAAACTACTATTCCAAAGAGAAGACCTAAGGGCATGTATGATAAATATCTAAAAACCTGAAATGCTACTGCAGATTAAAAAAACAAATTATTTTGTTCTTTTTCCAGTAGGGATGGCATTAGAGTTAATAGATTTAAATTACAGTAAGGGAATGTTGGGGCTGGTGGTAGAAAAGTCTCTCTGGATGGCTAACAACTGAAGTGGTTAGCCATGGGAAGCATATGAAACCTCTGTGGGGTAGGGCTCTTTGCAACATGCGTGATTGCTGAGCTCATCTTGCTCTGAGAGTAAAGAATTTAACCACGCAGACAAGAGCCATGTCATGCCACTTGTGCTGGGGGCCAACGAACAAGCCCTGGCCCACTAGTCCAGGAGTAGTCTGAGGACTGGGCTTTCTGCAATCCAATGCCATCACAGCATGAACTTTATCACACAGCAGTCACTTTATATCTTACTAGTGCTGTAATGGAGTTTTGCAAGCGTTGTGACTGTCAATTCAGATCTTGTATTACAAAGACTCTTGTTAATTTAAAGAGGATAAATCCTCTGGAAAAAAACAAAACAAAACACATCAAAGCATATGTTAAATAGAGCAGTGCTCTTTCTACTGAGATAAGATTTTTTTTTTTTCAAATATATGTTTAATTTGTTGAATTGCATTGAATGTTTCTGTCACCCTGGAACATTTTCTGAACAGGACAGCCTTGTGTTCTACCAGAAGATTCCTTTGGCACTGGCACAAGAGCATTGTCTCTTCACTGATCCTATTTATCTTCTGCATTTATCAGTTATGTGCTCTTCTGTGAATGTTTCACCTTTGCCTTTTCCTTTTCCAGTTTTGCAGGTAAATATTCAAATTATGTGGAGTAAAGAGGAGGTTTTGCCATCTGTAGATTAGTGATAGATGACAAATCATGTGCT